CAAAGGCATAAGCTGCCTCGCCGCAAACCTCCAATCGCAACAGTAACACCTCCCCCGTCTTTGAGGTCCCACTAGCTTGCTTAAAGGCAGCGATTACGATAAAGAGGAAGCGCATCGGGGAAGCATATGCACCACACGAATCAGTTACTTGGCTGCCAGGAAGCGAGGTGTGCGCTTTCACGACGAAAGGTGCGCTGGTTGCTGAGCAGGACTTCGAAAGCACTCCGCCCCCAAAAGCGATCCGCCCACTAGTTTAGTTGGTGATTTGGACGAGCTGCGTTGCCAGCAGCGGCACAACTGGAGCAACTCGATTGGAGCATGGTTTGGCATGGTGCCACCAAACGCGTTGCGGTGAACTCGTTCATACGTCCGCTTTCTGAGCTGTTACCTGTTCATGAGTGAAAACCAACGGCCAAAAAGGGGTCCCGTTTTGCGTTTTCTTGACGGATTTCTCCGCTTTTTCGCCACTGGCGTACCATTGAGCACCACCACGTCTCCTCTAAACCTTCTTCAAAACTATCGTAATCGCTGCCTTTAAGGAGAGAACCTCTAGCAATCTGATCGCGAACCAGCCTTTGAGCATGTTCCCTTCGCATTACATATATTCAGAGAGATATTCGGATGGCGGCCCATACCTTCTTCTGCAGAAATTCGCTAATAATCGAATCATTGTTTATGCTGTTCATGACAGGTTTGATGACTTACCGACCAGGGAAGGAGTATGGCCGACATGAATGGGTTTAGATTCAAAAAGAGCGATGCAGCGCATCGGACACTCTCACTGTTTATGGTCATAATTAGGTGTTACGATCAAAAAGGTAGAGTGTGCCTTGCACCGATCTTAAGTTAATATTTTGCAGTACTGGGGATTGGACTCAAACGAGTGTGAGCCATGCTGTTGGATGACACTTTCTGGAACACGCGATACCCAAGAGGTACTGAAAACTCTGGATGAGCTCGACATAGAAGTCGACAATGCGGATGGACCAGTAAGTGACTTGTTATCTTCCTGTTCCCTATCTTTTTCTTATGTTTTGCAAATATCCTGTTCAATTGAAGAGCATATAATTGGTGAATTAATTGCGCATCGACTTGGCTTTACACCACCCAAACATTCCTTACAATTTAAAGGCATAGGTCGCGATCGGGCTAGCACTTCATTGCGCTCGGAAATCAAACAAGTTTTGGAAAAGGATCGTAAATGAACGAATACAAACGCAAAAAGAGACATGATAACCATGATATCGAGATTTCCTTTCGTGTGACCGTGGTACGGTGAAGTGATAGGGCGCGGTGGGTAGGAAAAATACGGGAGAGGGCGCAGACATCGCGTATAAGTAATAGTGGCAGCGTTCCAACAGTGATTGCACAGCCTTAGCACCCTCGTCGCACTCTTTTGAGTCACGACGGTGCCACAACTCCTTCGTATTGAGACAATGCTACCTCACTCACTTAGAGTATTTTCCCAAGTCTGAATCGGACCAATGCCTTCAAAGCTAATACCTCCAGCAGAAGCCGTGTCGAAGAATCTATCCAGTGGGTGGATACAGTAGCCCACGAGTATCACAGATGTGCCGTTGTGCGGCTCAAAAGTGCGCGACAATGGCGCTAGGGTCTTACAAAGTCAGCTTTGGCGACTAATCTTAGCGTTGGACGAGAGACCTCGCGCTCGCCCTCAGGCAACGTGGATTACGACATAATGGATAAGAGAGCCGAAATTCGGACAGATATGGTAGCTTCATCACATTGTTGCGGTTGCGTTCAAAAAAACTCATCTAGAGCGCTTCCCCCGCCATCATTATCGGTCGCTATTACTCCAAAAACTTGAATTGGGATTGTTGCTTTTAATGGCACTTTTGTTAGCCGTGCTGTGCAAATTTTCGACTGAACGAGTTTAATGTGATAAAATAAGGATAGGGTTAGCTTAGTCGGTCAGCGAGAGGTCACCATGCGACGTCAAGCACTTAGACGTGCTCCTTTCTGTATCCATTACATTACAATTCATTCAATGTGTCCCCTTAGCGCTGGAAGAGATAAAGACACTGGCAGAGCGACATAGGCTCGGATGAGGTGTCTATAGTGCGATGCGGCTCGAAACAATTGCCATGAATTGAATGCAGCCAGAAATTGCGAATTTGCGCAATTTCTGGCTGCATTCAATTCATGGCAATTGTCGGGGTTGTGAGTTCTGTGTGGACCCAGAGTTTTGACGAAATTTGGTGAATGCTTTACAAGAGTAGCGAGAATTTGGGGAAATGGAAATAGCTGTTCATGATATGAATTTACTCCCCCCTCCCCTCCTTCCCTCGACGACTGTTTTGGAGGGGAAGTGGGCGAAGATCGGTTAGGCTGTGGCGACTGGTATATCATCAAAACATACTCAATAACATGATGATGAGGTGTGATCCGGAGCCGGGGATTGAAGGCGGCCTTCTGAGACTGTTAGCGGTGGTGGGGTCCGCAAATGGTTATTTGAAACGCAAACGTGACGGTTGATCGTGCTCCCAACTCGTCGAGAGACCATAGTTCAGTAAAATAAAAGAATGGGAATGAAATATCTTTTCAGGAATTGTATCAACGATTCGGCTGGGAAGACGATTTCCATAATGACAGCTTGAGTAGGTGGCAGAAGCTGAAACCGAAAATGTGGCGACTGTTTGATGAGCCAAGTTCGTCTCGAGGCGCCAAGGTAAGTTCTGGATGGTTTCATAGCTCCTTTTCAAAGTCTACCGAAGACACTCACTAAAGTATTCTTTTATAGGTTATCGCCATTATTTCCGTTTTCTTTCTTATCACTGCTATACTGGTATTCTGCTTGAAAACTCATCCCGGACTCCGAATATCGGAAATCTCTGGAATAGGAAATCTGTCTCGAGAAGCGAGGGCCGCCAATCCATTATAAGTATCGACCGGCGCCATTAACTGTTGATAAGATGAATTCGAAGGCTCATCCAGGGTTTATGGTAAGTTGTGATGCTCACTAAATTAGAGTAAAGCATTTTGATAAGACTAGCTTGTAACTTGGCTAATATTTTGATCCATCAATATAATTAACAAGTGCGACTGCGGGCGGTTTGTATAGTGGTGAACAAAGTTTTCTCTTCTATTATATTTTGTGTCCAGTTAAAATTATCAGACCTAGGTTAACTTAAGCTATTGCGTACGTAGTGCATCATGTGCAGCACGCCGTTTGCCTCTGCTTTGCCCCGGGCTGCACATGATACAGCACCGTTTTTTGTACACATTTATTTTTCAGGCTCTAATCAGTAAATATATAGTTCCGAGTTGAGTAAAAAAACAACATTCAGAAACACTGGATGGACAGCACCTTCGCGTACGGGTCTGGTGGTAGGGGAGGA